TGGTTTGCCAGTGGTTTGCCAGTGGTTTGCCAGTGGTTTGCCAGTGGTTTCCAGTGGTTTCCTGCGTTCGCCGCGCCCTGGAAACCAAGGCCGGGCACAGGAAGTGCATCAGGTGGCGTCGAGGCATGTCTTGAAATATCCTTGGTTTTGCTTCTCTGCGCCGCCGCAAAGGACACATTTCAAAGACAAAAGCGATTAGCAAACAGTCCACACCTGAAACATGTTGTGGATGTGATTTGCCATCAGCCCATATCTAAGCGAAAACCAACCCCTGAACCATCTTGACGTATCTTGATTTTAAATCTTAGCCTGAGAAACATGAAAACAACCTTCAACCTCGGAGATTTGGGAACAAAGGGCATTGAACATGCTTTGTGTTCAAACTTGTTAAACCCTGCTCTCATGCAGTGCGGAACTCGATGCGGAACTCGGCGGAAGGCAGACGCTCCGTCCGACGCCGGTCTCTGCCGAGGGGCGACACCACGATGCAGACTCCATGATAGGTTTCCTGGCGGATGGTCATGGTGGTCATGGTGGTCCGAGTGGTCCCAGAACGGTCGGAAAACGGCCATGAAGCCATGAGATTCAGGGCATCCACCTCCCACTTTGGTGCCGAGATGGGGTGGACCCGCGCCCGTTTCCCCGTGTCGTCGCACCTGCACCGCAAGAGACTGCAAAAGACTGCGAGACTGGTCCAAGGGCTGCGCTCTGTGGGCATGTGTGAGAGAACGAGCCCCCCTTGGTAGGCTCAAAGATGAGGTTGTTTCCAACCCCTTCCATGTGGGAAACTCCAATTTTTGGAGGCTCAGAGTGTTTGCCACGCCTCAAGCCAGCCGAGCTGTCCAGGAGCGCAGGGCAGTCCATTGACCTGACGTTTCTAGCCCAACGGATGAAAGGATGCACCCAAAAGAGACGAAGACGGTTTCAAAGCTGCACCAACAGCTGCGACCCACCCACTGCCTGTGTCTTGACAAAAAGAAATGCCTTTGACATGGGTCAGTTGAATCATAGTTGAACCATGTTGAACCAATGACTGGCCGCCAAGCTGGACCTCTTTTGGGTCATGGTGCTACCCTGGACTATCCGCTCGCGAAGCTGCCCCCCAATGGCAAGCAAAAGGAGTTTGGTTGGCTCCAGCAGCGGACCCCTGGGCTCCCTCGTGAAGGGCAGTTGCCAAAGGAAGTCAAGGGTAGTTGCTAGAGTCTATATAGAGGAGAACTACAGAACACCTGCAAATCCCCAGTCTTATTCCTTTGGCTTTACCCTTGGCATTGGAAGCGGTGCTGAACTGACCGACATAGATGGCAATTCAGCACGAGCGTCCACACTTGAATCATGATAGTGGAATCTTTGAACTCACAAATGGACCACAAAAAGTACTGGTAACTAGCTTGAAGAAAAGACAAGCTTGGCACATCATGAGCAAAGGGTCTCTCTTCACATCTGCTAGCGTTCAAGCGCCGCGTCCACCGCCGGGGGTGTTCCACCGCCGCAGATCTTCCCGCCCGCGCCTGTGAGAAGAAGGGCAGGGGTGGCCGATCATCGTTGGTCACAAGCATCTTCCTGGTATGCTGCTGCACGCCACGCCACGCGACGCGAAAGATGTGGCACCGGCATCCGGAAGTCGAAGGCGGAAACGCGCGGGACGGAACGCACGCGGCCACGGTCTCCGGCGCAGACCGCGCGGCTCCGCGCACAGCACGGAGGTTGGAGCACGGTCTTCAGGTGAAACGGACCCGGGGGTCTTCGTGTCGGACGGAAAGCTCGCCACGTGGAAAGGGCGGGCGGAGCGTCTTCCGACTAGTCACCAGTCTTCTATGTTCATCCCAGTCCACTCGTTGAGGAACACATCTTGATCTGGGGAGGAAGGGGAAGCTTGGTTTCCTGAAGAGCGCAGGGCTGACTGATGTCTGGTGGATTCGCCTCGGACGTCCGCATCAAGACACAACAGGAAGGACGTGTGTCTGAACGTGTCACATCTTTTTCTCCCGCGTGTTGGGCGGCCCCCAACGGCCCCCGGCGCCTGCGGGGCATTTGGCTTCGCTGTGGCGATTCCTGCGCCAGCTGCTCCAGCTGCTCCGTCCGAGGAGGGTCAGGGAGGGTGCGAGAAGAGAAGCGAACGAAGGAAAGATTGAACGAAGGGTTGCTCCAGGCAGAGGAAAGGCCAGGCTTGGGTTGCTGCGGGTGTCTACTGGTCATACACAGAGTCGGAGGCGTCTCGAGGACCAGTGATACACGGACACAGACAGCCCGATGGATGGTGAATCTCACCGTGGGACTGCGATTTTGGGGGGCTATTGGGTTGGATTCGTCGTTTTCAACCCTCTTTTCCATCTCCCTTCGTCTCTGATGCATCCCTTCGTCACCTGAAGCTCTTTCAGAGCTTTGAAGCTCGTCCCAAGGACGATCCGTCTCCCAAAACGGGCGAATCCGACACATCCCAGGCACCGCGGCGTGCCCTTCGCCGGCCGTGCCCCTTCGCGGCCCGCACCACTCCCTCCTCGCCCGCTTTCTCCGGCGATGCGGCATAGCCTCGGGGGGGGTTCTCGTTGAGGCGACCTCTCGCCACCCGGGTGAGAGGAGGTGGATTAAGCAACCTCTCCATGTGGCACCGGCGGTGGGAAAAAACTGCCGGTGTGGTCTTGATCGTGTGTGGAAACGGAGTGTTCCCGACCGGATTCCTTGGATGCAACTGTGATGACTCTCTTTTGATGAATTTCAGGGATCAGGCATGGAATGTCCCCACTTAGAAGCCGGACTTGTTCAACACGTCGACTGTATTGGTGCGATTTGGTGTGCCAACCAACGTCCCACTCAACTCGTGACGTGCGTCGGCACACTGTAGGGTGAAGCCGGCCCCCCCCCCATTCAGGACACGTGACGTTTTTACACGCCAGGAGGTCCTGAATGGGGGGGGGGGGGGGGACTTAACATATTGGGTGGCCAAAAACACATAAGGTGAAACGGGCTCAGTAGTGGCAATTTGCGAGGCTTAGCAGGCTAGATTGTAACAACACATTGAAGAAAAAACTGCACGGGCACATTCAAAACAAACACTGGAAGAAAATGCTAGGAAGAAGTTGCGCAAAAAAAACATACCCGCAGCTGAAACTCGCTTTGAGAGAACCGGAAATGAAAACATCCCGTCCAGGCCATCGTTGGGAATTCGCTGAGACGATGGCTAGAACAGGTCCACAGTGTAAAGGGGATAGCCGAGGATTGCCGATTTTCCGACATCCTTCGGGACCAGGTCCCAGCTCCATGTGACAACAACGAAGGCGGCAAAAAGCAACCAATGTTCAGATCATACGGCGAAACGCCGGCGTTCCGTTTCAGAACAAATCCTGTTGGCAAGTGGGATCGAGGTGAAGTTGTGTGTGTGTGTGTCTGAATCCTTTTTTCCTCAAAGGCTTAAGTGACTTCAATTCTTGGGGTGGCTCAGACAACTTTGGACCTCATCCATCGCTGTGAAAATGTCTCAACCACGCGCGATCAGTCAAATGCGCTCCAGTCCAAGGTGTGAGATCGAGCTAGACTGATGCGCATCCGGTTTCGCACACAGAATGCCACCTCTTTTGGGCGTGGGCTTTGTGGTTTGCTGCAATGATATCTTCCAAGAACCCTCCGAAATCCCTGTAAGAGAGCTGCCTTTGGACTTGCTGTCGTGAGGCCATGAGTTGTTGAGAAGGAACTACAACCTGTATGTCGTTGAACTTCCTCACCTTGCCCATGTTCTCACTTCCAATGGCTGAGATCTGTTCCCTCCGAAACCTTGGCCCAAGCTGCTGTTCGTCGGAAGGGGGCTGTAGAGCGGGGCTGAAGACCTCAGGTCGCGGCCCGACCCGAAAGCGCGACCCGACCGATTGACCCGAGAGCCACGCATCGATCCACCGGTGAGGCGCGGAGAACGCGGAAGCGAAGCTGCACCACAAGCGCGAACGCGACTCAGATCCAGCGTGGCTGCAGAAGGCATTGGCATCAAAAACAATCCAACTGCAAAGCTTGCAAGGTGCTGGCAACATGCATATACATGCATGGTCCAATCATAAATGTATTTATATATATATACACACGAAAACAAACCAGGCCATACATCAAAATGATTGAGCCGCAGCTGAGCGCTATGCTTTTTTGATAGTGTTTTTTTCTCAATCGCAGTTTGGTCTGTGGCGGGCAGTGGCCCAAAAACAAGGACTATCATACATGGTTATTACAGTCCCTGAAAATAATCCTGGTTCCGTGGATGGCATGGCCCCTCGTCCATGATTACCATTGTCCAAATACCAAACAGGTGGGTGAAGTCCACGTAGCCATGACTTCAGGGAGTGTATATAGTCAACCTAAAAAGCTTGGCTCTTCCACCGTGAGTGCGGCTCCCATACGTCCCTACCCACTATGGAATGCTCTGCAATGGTCCTCTGATGGCCAGGTCGATAAGGGTCCAGTAGACTGGACGGAAAAACCTGGCACGTACAGGTTTGCCTGCCTGTGAAACGCCTAACTCACTAAGGTTCTTTTTTCCCGGATCAATTGACAAGTCTTGCTTGCGATGACCTTGGACACGCATAAGACGACCATCAGAGCTGAGAAGATAGCAGCGCGATGGAGCGGCTTCAAGCTCATGTTTGGTTCTTGGATCGCAAGGAAGCAAGCACACACGGCCAGCACCAAAGGCAAAGACAAAGCGACCACCGCCATGGTCATGAGGCATTCACGGATGATCGTGCCTTGCAACCCGTGTCCTTGTTGAAAGCGTTGTGCAAGCCACACCATGTATCCCATCAACGTGGGTGCTGCCAGCAACCAAATCGTTGTTCCATAGATGGCATATTCCAGGGCGGCCTGAAGAGCTAGCGAGCAAGGATCTTTTTGAATCACTGGCATCAGCCATAGGACGTGCTTGAGGGTGGAATCCATGAAATTGGGTGGACACCCAAGAAATCATTTGATATGTGGTGAAGATCCAGTTAGAGCCATGTAAATAGCAGTGGATCTATTTACGTCCCATTCAACAAATGCCTCCACGAGCAATCGCCATCGACACGCTGCCAGTCAAGACTCACCACATCTGAACTGGAACTGGTCGAATGAGGTGGAAACAAAAACGACCAGAGAACTCCTGAAACATCTTGAAATCTTCCATCATCTTCAAGCACATCCATCCATCCCTCCACCATCCCCCCCCCACCGTCATCCCTCCCATGCCTCCACCGCCTGGATTTTCCAGAGTGAGGCCGCCACATCCAAAAATGCCCAGCCTCAGTTGACATGCGTGTCAGCTGACATGGCGTACTTGGCGGGCGGAGCCCGAGGCACCCCCTCCTCGCGATGTCACCTGTACCAAACCCCCGAGCGATGAACACCACGCGCGCTTTTCAGCACACTTATATACACCGCCACACCGCTACATGCAGCAAAACGCACGCCTTTCTCAACATGTACCCATCATTTGATTTGTAGGTCTTCTCCGCATTAGCGCGCTATATATGTATGTAAAAAGCGCCGCCCAGGGACCAATTGGTGAGCAAACTCCAACCTTGAAGGGCCACGTGAACTCGCCGTCCGACACCCGGAAGTACATGCGGTAGGACACCACGGCGGCGAAGGCGAAGCTGGTTCCGGCCAATAACAGATAGAAGACAGCCGTCGTCTTGCTTCCTGGTTTCAGGCTGGTTTCAGGCTGAAACGAAGGTGTGGGTACTCACATGGGGTCCTGGTTTCAAATGTTTCAGGCTGGTTTCAGGCTGAAACGAAGGTGTGGGTACTGACAT